GTATGCACAGAACGTGTGGATCCTTCAGATAAATGTGGTGCATCTTCCTAAAGAGATGAAATTTTAACGTTGAGTAACTTATTATTTTTTAACACACTGATTAATAAAGAACAGACATGGATATACTACAAAATATGAACAGTTTTTTTAAAAATATTTTTTTCTTTTTGAGATGGAGTCTCCCCCCATTGACCAGGCTGGAGTGCAGTGGTGTGATCTCAGCTCACTGCAACCTTCACCCAGGAAAGCCCAGGCACGCCCCACACCACCTAGCGCACTCACGCTCGAGACGTACCTCGGGATTCAGGCGTCGCACGACACCCCTGGGCTAATCTCACTGTACCTCTCATCTAAACTAGAGACTGGGATTTTAGCGCCCATGTTGGCCAGGCTTGTCTTGAACTCCTGACCTCAAGTACTCCACCCGCCGCCATCAGCCTCCCATAAGTGCTGGGACTCATAATGCGGCTGAGCACTGTGCTCCGGCCTGGGTCCTTTTAAGATTAAGTAAATGACTCTCAAAAGAAACGTTAGTTCTTGTAGTGGATCTCCTCGCATGTCTCCCTGAGGACTTCGTGCAATTCCCTTGTCTTCCCATCAAGGGTATGGGTGGGCAGGCGTGCGGCGTGCTCACCCACCTGTACTCAGTACCTTTGCGGACGGCCCGAGGTGGGCTGGCTCACCTTCGCAGGTCCAGCGAGTTTGCGGCACCAGCCCCCTGGGCCCAACCATTGCGCCATCCTGGTCCCACTAAAAACCGAGAAATTATCCTGGGTTCGTCACCCCCGCGGCAGGCTCGCCTCGCCTATACCTATCGCACTCGCCTCCTCTCCTCAATATTCCTCTTACGTCAGCACACACAACAGCAACACAACTAAAGTGCTTTTATCAGCCCATCAAGGCGACATTCACTCTCAACACTTCGTGATCCCCGTTACTCACACGCCCCCACTACCTCTTATTCAGCCCTATTAACACCAGGCCACCTGCATCTCGCCTCCTACCGCACCCCCTCTCTTTTCTACCTGCATAACCGCTTCGCGGACGACACCGATCTGCTTCATACTTTATGAACTACAAAAAGCAGGGTGCACATCAGAATGTATAGTATGATTTATCTGGCAAAGTGAACGAAGTAATAGATAAACTCATATATGTAAAAACGTATTTCCTGGCTGGGCACAGTGGTTCACGCTTGTAATCCCAGCACTTTGGGAGGCCTAGGCTGGTGGATCACCTGAGGTCAGGAATTCCAGACCAGCCTGACCAACATGGAGAAACCCTGTCTCTACTAAAAATAAAAATGTTAGCTGGGCTATGGTGGTGGGCGCCTGTAATCTCAGCTACTCAGGAGGCGGAAGCACAAGAATTGCTTGAACCCAGGGGGCAGAGGTGGCAGTGAGCTGAGATCATGCCAGTGGCACTCCTGCCTGGGTGACAGAGTGAGACCCTGTCTCAAAAGAGAAGGGAAGGGAAGGGAAGCGAGGGGAGAGGAGGGAAGGAAAGGAGAGTCACAGAGGACCACTTGTTGTATGATTCCATTCATATGAAGTGAGCAGAATAGGCAAATCCATAGAGATAAAGCAGATTAGTGGTTGTCAGGAGCTGGGAGGGGAGGAAGGAATGGGAAGTGTCTGTTAATGAGCATGAAGCTTCCTCTGGGGATAATGACATTGTTCTGAAATTAGTGGTGATGGTTGCACACCTTTGTGAATATACCAAAAACCACTGATCTGTACACTCTACAAGGATGAATTGTATGTATGTGAATTATATCTCAATAAAGTTGTTGTATTTTAAGAAAGGAAATAAGCTCTATCCTGCCCTTCCTCAATGAACCATATTTTCAGGTAACTGCGTTACCCTGGTTGATGCAGGGAATTCCTGTTTACAGAAGAATTCCAGCTCATAGATGTGGAAAGAATGATAGAAATGCATTATATTACAGCCCCTAATGAAATCAATGACTCAGAGATCTTCAAAAGAAAAACCCATTGCTTGGAAGGTTGATGGGGAAATTCCCAAAGGCGAAGTCTAATTGCTGCCACGCACCCCCACCAAGGGGGCCCATGGTGTGACTTCCCAGAAGCACTCAGCAAAACCTGTGAAATGCTCCTCCCAAAAAAAGTTGAATCTGGGCCGGGCCTCATGGCTCATGCCTGGAATCCCAGCACTTTGGGAGACCAAAGTTCAAGGACTGCTTGAGCCCAGGAGTTCGTGCTCAGCCTGGGCAGCATAGAAAGACACCGTCTCTATAAAAAAAAAAAACAATTAAAAAGTTAGCCAGACACGGTGGTGCATACCTGTAGTTCCAACTACATGGGAGCCTGAGGCAGGAGGACTGCTTGAGCCCAGGAGTTTGAGGCTGCAGTGAGCCATGATCACACCACCACACTCCAGCCTGGGTGACAGAATGAGATCCTGCCTCTAAAACATAATAATAACAATAATAAATTTTTAAAAATTAGACCCAGGCCTGGGTGTGGTGGTTCATGCCCATAACCCCAGCACTTTGGGAGGCCAAGGCAAGTGGATCACTTGAGGTCAGAAGTTCAAGATTAGTCTGGCCAACATGGTGAAGCGCCACCTCTACTAAAAATACAAAAATAAGTTGGGCGTGGTGGCGCGTGCCTGTAATCCAGCTACTCGGGAGGCTGGGGCATGAGAATCACTTGCACCTGGGAGGCAGAGGTTGCAGTGAGAGAAGATTATACCACTGCACTCCAGCCTGGGTAACAGAGTGACACTCTGTCTCAAATAAATAATAAAACGTTAGACCTGAATCTACTGAGACCTTGAGGGCTTATTTACAGGAAAGAGGGAGACAGAGAAGCTAGTTAAATGACAGTACAAGGAAGCAAACAGAGAATTCCAGAATGTGGGAATGCTATGGGACAACTGGCTCTATTTTTGGTTCAAGGCAACAAGAGGGAACAAACAAAAAACAAGGAAAGGAAAGACTTTGGAATAAAAGTGACTCAAAAGACAATTTTAAAAACACCACCACACAATTGTGACTCTGGTGGGAGGACTTTGTATGGATCCTGATTTGGACAAAGCAATCATAAAAAGATACTTGGAGACAATTAGCAAAATTTGATTATGACTGAATATTAAATTATTCCAAAGAATAATTCTGAATGTTGTTAGGCATGATCAGGGCATTGTGGAATTTTTTTTACAGATGCACACTGAAATATCATCTTCATGCACACCGCAATGACATGATCTGGGATTTGCTTTAAAATACTTCTTCAGGCTGGGCACAGTGGCTCACGCCTGTAATCCCAGCACTTTGGAAGGCTGAAGCGGGCAGATCACCTGAGGTCAAGAGTTCGAGACCAGCCTGGCCAACATGGCAAAATCCCATCTCTACTAAAAATACAAAAATTAACCAGGTGTGGTGGCAGATGCCTGAGGTCCCAGGTACTCAGGAGGCTGAGGCAGGAGAATCACTTGACCCTGGGAGGTGGAGATTACAGTGAGCCGAGATCACACCACGGCACTCCAGCCTGAGCAACAGAGTGAGACTCCATCTCAAAAAAAAAAAAACAAAGGAAGAATATATTAAGAAGGCCGGGCGCGGTGGCTCAAGCCTGTAATCCCAGCACTTTGGGAGGCCGAGGCGGGTGGATCACGAGGTCAGGAGATCGAGACCATCCTGGCTAACATGGTGAAACCCCGTCTCTACTAAAAAATACAAAAAACTAGCCGGGCGTGGTGGCGGGCGCCTGTAGTCCCAGCTACTCGGAGGCTGAGGCGGGAGAATGACGTGAACCCGGGAGGTGGAGCTTGCAGTGAGCCGAGATCGCGCCACTGCACTCCAGCCTGGGCGACACAGCGAGACTCCGTCTCAAAAAAAAAAACAAAAAAAAAACAAAGGAAGAATATATTAAGAATATGTAGCAAAACTTAACTATTGAATCTGGATGATGGAAATACAGAAAATGTCTTATTACTTTCACTTTTGTGTAATTTATAACATTTTCAAAAATGGACGGGAACTAAAAAGTATATGCCAAGGATTTCTGGGAAGAGTTAAGAAAACCATTTCACAACAAGTAAACAGGAAGAAAAGCAATATTTATAAATTAATACGCGGCTGTGTTACATAGTTTGCGATTTTTAAGATTTGTGCAATCAAGTTGGTAAATTGTATAAACAACTATTCGTCTATATACAGCTCTTCAAGTTTATGTCTACAAGGTTTATCTACACTTCTTCAAGTTTATGTCTACAGGGTGACCAACTGCTTAAAAAGTTATCCTTATAGGGAAAATGCAGAGTTTCCCACATGTGAATAGTAACTGCGCTTTGGCAGGGCATTAGAGTAGAAAGTGGATGAGGTTTAGGCTGGAGACTCTGGAGATGGTGAGGGGTGCTGTGTGTCACTTTGGCAGCTGACTGAGGGTGGGGTGGGGCAAGAATATTGGAGGGGAGAAGCTTGGGGCTGAGGGACCTGGTTAGTTATATAACTGAATCAATGGCACCTAATGAGAAACCAGGCAAGTTGTAATCATTCACTCACTCAATCAACACATGTATACTTAACTCCTGTCCTGTCTCAGTCATCAAGTGAAAATTCTTGGATTCCTTCTTCTGTAATATTCTAAGCAGTTTCTGGCGTCTCAACTCAACTTTGTTTTATAAAGGCCATTGTTGATCCAGATTTTAATCAACCAGTTGACCTGTTAGAACCATTTCCAGCTGGAATTTTAAAACCCCAAATCTCTGTAATATATTATATTGACAAATTCAGCCAAATGTTACCTTCTTTCCTCTCTGACCTAGCACCCATATTCCCTAGGCTTCAGCTCACTCAATTAGCTAAGACTTATTTGTTTGATTGTTTTATTTTGTTGTGGAAGCTATATCCTCCTTGGTCAGACTGTGTGCCTGCCTCCTGGAGCATCCTGGAATCTGACTTTCATTATAGATCTGGAAACGAACAATGGGCAGTGGAGTGGTCACGAGAATTAGAATCCTCTTGCAAAATAACGTCTCTGGGTGAGGTCATTACATACTTCCCAGAGAAAGCAGAATCAGCCTAGTCCGATGGAAGGAGGGGCTGCTTCTATCAGCAAAGGAATCTCACTGGACTTTGGATATGGGTAGTCAGGGAACACAAAATCATCAGCATCCACCCAAACATCCCTATTTCAGTTCCTGAGAGCCACTTTTTCCTGTTCCATGCACCTGGTCAGGCTGTGAATACAGCATACATAACAATTATATTACAAATCAGCAACCCATGGGATCAGCTCTCTTCAATTCTTGGCTACATGAGCCCTGTGGCTATAAGAGATGATACATCTATTGCAGTAGTCAGGAATGACACCAGGTTATCTGACCCTGCCTTGAACCAATAATTTAAACCCCAAATCTTTTCTTATTTGAAGCTCTGTGGTGCAATTATAAACAGCCATGACCTTGCTTGCCAGCAGATATCAGCCAAAAGCAGCAGGACTATGGCTACAGCCTCACTTCCTTCTTCCAAATCCCACTAACTGGCAGAACCCATCCATATCTGGGATTCTAATTGCAACTGAGTCTGGGAAATACATTTTTTTTTTTTTTTTTTTGAGACGGAGTTTCACTCTTGTTACCCAGGCTGGAGTGCAATGATGCAATCTTGGCTCACTGCAACTTCCGCCTTCCGGGTTCAAGCGATTCTCCTTCCTCAGCCTCCTGAGAAGCTAGGATTACATGCACCACCACACTTGGCTAATTTTGTATTTTTAGTAAAGACAGTGTTTCTCCATGTTGGTCAGGCTGATCTCAAACTCCCAACCTCAGATGATCCACCTGCCTTGGCCTCCCAAAGTGCTGGGATTATAGATGTGAACCACCACGCCCAGTGGAAATACAATTTTTTAGCTTTTTAGATTCTGGAAAGAATGGATGCTGAGTCCTGGTTGATCACATCTAACACAGATAGACCCAGGGATAGATTTGTATGCTTAATATTGGGAAGACAAGAAGGTTCCTAACAGATTTGCTATTATTCTCCCTGTAAAAGAAGAGGTGAAATACAAGTGTTGGTAAGGATGTCGAAAAATTGGAA